CTGAGGACGATCCTTCACAATACTGTCAAGAGTCTACTGGATACCATCGTCACAAGGTCGACTGTCAAGGAGAAGGAACAAGCGGATGAGGTTGGTTAGGGTGTTTGAAATGGGATCTGGTTGTACTTTCGTATCGGGGTGGGGTTTGCGTGCGGTTTTGTGCTTTTATTTTGTGTTTTTTTTATGGTGTTTCGTTTATTTTTTTTTTTGTTTTTGAGTCGGGTTTTCGTTTTGCTTTTAGTGCTTTTGTTTGTTTTTTTCTTTTGTTTCTGTGTTTGTTTTTGGTTTCAGTTTTTGGTTTCTGTGTCAGTTTTGATATTTCGTTTTTTTCTGTTTTGTGTTTTATTTGTAGTTTTATTTATACTCATTACGTTTCTGTTATATGTGTTTTTGTTATTGATAGCAATGGTTATAATAAAAATAAGGATGATAATATTTATTATCTCAAGAGAAAAAACAGTAATAAAAAAATGACAATAATGATAACAGAAACATCACAACAATAATAACAATACAAAAATAATGACAATAGTATCGATAACAACTTATTAAAAATTACATTGAGAATAATGAAAATACTAATATCACTCTAAGAAACGTAACTAACTAAACAATTAACAAAGAAAAAACTAATTGATCACTTCACATTAAATTACGAAGATTAATAATCAGATTCTTATATAACCATATGTAGTATCTAGTAACACTTTTATCATTGTCGTTAATTGTAGTAGTAGTAGTATCATTAATAGTATTATTATAGTGTATTAGTGTTGGATAAGTATTTATTATTGTATCATTATTGTTGTCATCATTATTAGCATTATCATTTTCATTATGATTTCAGGAGGCCGAGGAGGAAATCGGCGCAATGTTTTTGGTAAAAGTGAGCGTGGAAGAGAACGTTATCGTGTGCACGCCCACGCAAGAGGCGCTGATGGGCGGCTTGAGGACTGTCGTGCGCATGTGCGAAATGACAGTATTGTCTATCCAGCCGCTCCTCCCTTACTTCACACCCCATGATAGGTAAGGAAGAGTGATAAGGAGACGGAGATAATGAATAGTATGGTGTGGGAGTGTATTCGAAGTGTGGAAGGAAGATGGAGGAAGGAGGGAAGCGATTTGTTGCAGTTTGGGTCGAAACGATGAGAGAAGATGGGAAGAATGTCGATACAGAAAACGGGAATGACAATGGGTAAGAGTTCAATCACGAGGAAAAGGGTACTGAGAAAGCGCCCCCTAGAATTGCCATTTAAGGAATATGGAAAAAATATGAACAATTGAAAAAAAACAACAACTGTAAAATGTTTTTGCAATTTTCAACCGAATTAACGAAATTCCGACATCGCTTATCCTAGCGTAAATTTAATAAATTTAACTACTCGCGCCATGTTCAGGCTCTCTGCAGTTGCATCGGACGAGAATACGGTCCTTCGCACGATGCTGGAGGACGACTCTCTCTTGAAGGAGTCCATCGGGAAGGTCCTCAGCCTCGTGGAGGACAAGTGGCAGAAGGTGGAGGCCGAGGTGAATCCCTTAGACGACCTACTGAAGGAGGCACAGACGCCGCCGAGAGAAGAGGGCATCCAGGACCAAGGTGAGGAGGACGAAGACTTCAGGTGACATTTTTTTTTTCTCCAATTCCGCGGATATCTTATCGATTAATTAAAGATAAATCTCTCTTGCATTAATTTCTTTCCTTGCACAGATATGAATGAACTTGGATCGTGGCTGGGGCGTGTGGAGGGACTGGTAGAGACCGTGAGAAGCATCAGGGAAGTGGTGAATCTCGGCCTCCTGCAGGTGGACCAGACCGCCGCCAGGAGGGTCCTCGTCACGTCCCTCCGTCAGCAGCAGCAGCGGATGCACCAGGATGTCAGCCAGTGAGGAACATTAAGCAAATATAAACAATCCCGTTTCAACACTCACTTTCGTTTTTCGTTCAGCAATTGGAAAGACTTATCTAACATAGTGTTATTGTTATTATTATCATCCTAATTATTAATGTTATTATTATTGATAATATTATTATTATCATTATTTTGATTATCATTATCAGTATTATTATTATAATCATAATTATCATCATTATAATTATTGTTGTTATTATTATAATTTTCCCTATCATCATCATCACATCACCACCACCACCAACAACACCTCTATCAACAGAGGTTTCGACCAGCGCGTGAAAAAGTTACAGGCGGAGGCAACAGATAAATGGCTTGGCCTGGAGATGGCCCCCGTCACGGCCCAGCAGGTGGTCACACTCTTGAATTACGTCACAGAGGTCAAGAAAGAGGTCAGTGAATGTGTGAATAACCTTTAAAAATCTGTTCAAGGGCGAAGAATAATGTGCGATGTTTTTTTTTTCGATAGTGAGGTTGGTGTGAATAACATTTTAACATTTACGAAGGAGAAGGATAGTGTATAATATTTTTTTTTCTCAAGAGAGAGGTCAGTATATGAATAAAATTTTAGATGTTCATAAGCGAAGAAT